GAACTACTGTCATATTTACTGCAATATGCTAAGCAGTCAGAGCTCTACAAGAATAAGTCAACTATATTTCATCAAAGAATCACAAACAATCTTATATAACTTATAAAGAAACATATAATTGATAAAGAAGAAAAAATATAACACTGCAAAAACTTTCTTCAACATACCCTTGAGTACAAGCTGTCTGGTTCCTCCTTCCCTCTCACATCTTTCCCTTCCTCTATCTCTTCCTCCTCTGATCCAAGTTCCTCATCCTCTTCTTCCTCAACTTCCTCTTCCTCCTCTTCTATGGCATCTACCTCCTCCTCCTCCTCATTCTCATTTTCATTTTCATTCTCCTCGTCCACCTCTTCTTCCATCTCCTCGTCACTGCACAGGCTGGACTCCTTTCTGATATTGGTGTGTCTTGAGTGGTCAGCAACCTTAAGATACACGTGGAGGGACTTATGTTGTGTATTTCATTTACATCAATGCATGAGTATGTGGCACAGTCCATTGTGGTTTTGCTATATTGATTTTTCTTTACACATGAATGGCTCCAGAGGCACTTCATCAACAAAGAATCAATTACTAGGCCTAACTGAGCTCCTTGATAATTATTAATGATATCATAATATCAATAATGATAACAGCAATAACATAAAATTAAAAACTCTAATTACAATAACAGAAAAATAACCGTTTCCCAAAAACTTCAGGGAATGGGGTAACCAGGTGATTTCAAGCAACTTCTTGGTGATCGTGAAACCATCTAAACGTAAATAAAATTAATAGAACTAAACCACACTGGACAGTGCGTGTACCCAGCACCAGAGGGTTAACATACAATGCCATGAGCTACAGAAATAGTATAGAAAAGAAGAAAATAAAAAAATAATAAAAATAATTACCATCATACGTAAACAAAAACTTCAAGATATCTTTGCGATAAATAAGTTTATAGTTTCAAAACTTCATTCAAAACAGGTTACTATATAAATCAGTTATTTTCTACACACAAATAAGTATCATACTCACCATCCTGTATGACGGCTGTGCTTTGCTCTGGGGCTTTGGACCTTCTCTCCAGGCCAAATGGCTGTTCATGGAAGACAGAGACTCTGCTGATTCCTCTGACGTTCTGGAAGCGGCATCCCCTACATCCTCTATGACAGGCTGTTTCCTCTCAAGTTCACCTCTGCCGTTCTGCTCTGCATGTGGAGCAACCCCCCTGCCTGCCGATGGATTGTTGTTGTTGTTGACATTATTGCCTGTGCTTTCCACATCTGACAGCAGCGCAGGAGGGCAGCCCCGGCCGGGGTCAGTGTCACCCATGCTGCCCGTGTTCACATCGCATCACTGTTTCCCCAGGTCTCCTCGTGCTGTGAATCTGAGATGAAGGGCAGACGTGTGTGAATTAGACTGACTTTAAATATTCACCTTTTACATTTCTTATTCCAAGAGCAGTATATAGATCTGACAGTGGCCATACCTTAAAAAATAATAATATTGATAAATCTGGCTTTATCTTGGAAGACTGATACTGGTGATTTATTTACGCTGTATCAGTGATGCTTTTGCATTGATATATATATATATTTTTTTTCTAATGGCAAAATTTAGATATTCATAATTTATAGAAGCTGATCATGATAATCATTACTGATGATGGTGAAAACAAAGGTGATAATGATAATGATAACAATACTAAAAATGAAAATGGTAATAATAATAATAATAATAATAATAATAATAATAATAATAATAATAACTACATCAACAATAAAATAACAATAACAATAACAACAGTAATAACTTAAATAATAATAATAAAAATAACAGTAATAGTGAAAATGATAATGATAATAATAATAATAATAACAATAATGATAATAATGATAATAATGATGAAGATAATAACAACAACTAATATAATGATAATGACGATGATAATCATAACAACAATAAAAATGATACCAGTAATCATATTAAAAATAATAACAAAAACAATAATGATCAAAAAAGATATTCTCAACAGTGTTGGAATTTTATCAGGACTGATAACAAACTCATACTCATTTATCAAGCTAAAATCACAGCTCACACACACACTCTCACACATGCATGTGCATACATGGATGGATACACATATACACAAATGCATGCATGCATATACATATAGAAGAATGCTTGCATACACACACACATGCATGCACAACTATTTTCCTTGAATTCTATTAAAAAAAAAAAAAAAAAAAAAAAAACACATATGAAATTTCAGCAATTTCATATAATGTAGATACTTAATGACTTTTAAAGACTAAGTTAGCTTGTTATTCTTCACCTATTTCTTCTTACGACTTAGTACTATACAACTAAATTTTTTGGTTCACTCTCCTATGTACCCTTAATGGGAGTACCAAGATGCCTGCGAGCTCTAGAGCTTGTCTGCGCCACAGCTTTTCCTCCCAACTCTTTGCAAATGGAATAACGAAGGGAAAAACAAAGAAAACACATGAATGTACCGAAGGCCTTTTCACTGCACCGCTTCTTCGGGGCATGATTGGCACTTGATTCGACATGAATTCCACACTCCTAACTCTTCCACTTTTTGACTGTCACTCCTGTTGTCTGAATCTTCTGCCCTTTGAACGCAGAGTGCCTAATCTACATGATGCATGTTGCAGCTATATAGCCACTATCATTATTTGTTTGTCTCAATAACTGTGGCATAAGAAACTACTAATGATTACTTACATATTGATAGAAGCACAAATAAATACAAGTTTGAATAAAAAAGGAACATGCAGACTTACACTCAAGCTCACATACACAACCATAGGTATTATACAGAAAATACCACAAAGCTGATTACCAGTTTATGTCAGTTCCAGTTTGAGAAGCTTCAACTTATCATGAATTCTTCGACACAGAGTATATGCTCTTATCACCAAATTCAACTATTGCATTAATTAAATACAGTTGATTTACATAGCACTCTAAAATTAATTCAAAATGTTTAAAAAAATCACTTTTCTAATGTTTCATGCTACTGTTTCAAAATGATTTCACTTAAGTCAGAGTCCACTTCACTTTTCCCTTTTACTTATTCTTTGATTGTCTTACTATGTGAAAAATACCATGCAGTGTACTTCATCTGGTATATTAAATATGAACCTTATACTATCATGACACTAACATTGGAATACATACAAATACACATGTATGCATATTCATATACATCTGCAAATGAACAATCACATGTAACATACATACATACAATATCTACATACAATCACACACACATACAAGATATACACACAAATATACAACATACAAACACAATAATCACACAGACACATACAGTTGATCTGTCTCTGCAACTTATCCCTGTCTCTCCAAAAATGACCAAGGACATGTTACTAATTTAACTTCCACCATTTAAAGGTGACATGTTCTCAACATGTTTGTACTTTCTTTCAACAGGTGTAAAATGATGATCTTAAGAGGGCTAAAGGTCCAGCAATTGGAATCACAGGTGCATTTTAAAAAAATTCACCTAGATGCATGGTCATTATTGCTGAGTATCAAGTATGTGTTGCAAGTTCATAGAAGTTCATTTTCGTATTTTCCCTTTGAGACAGAATTAAGAAATGATCGAATGAAGGCGATTTTCAAATATATTATTTTTAAAAGGGGGCAAAAAATATGACTCAGAGTTCCCAAGGTACAATGGACAGGAGAGAATGGGAGGCCCTTGACCTTTCTCTCTGGGTCAGTCTCTCGGCTCCTGTGTGACCTGGGATGACCTTTGACCTCGCACGCGGTTCCCAGGTCACTCTTACGTCACTCATTCATCCCGGTCAGCTGCCACTCTGAAGTCATTATTATCACGCCTCACTTACGTCACTCATTGACCTATTACGTCACTCATTCACCTATTACGTCATTCATTCATGCCAATCAGCTGTTTCTTGTTTACTAACTTCAACATGAGTAAAAGGAATAGTAAGCCTCAGAGAGACCCTTCACGCTCGAAACCCATCGCGACAACTCACTTAATTACAATTTCCCGACGTCCACCTGAGCGATGGCTTTATAAAGGTTCTTCTGTGAGTCTCGGGAGTCTCATGGATCGGCCAAAATATCGAGAAAATAGAGTTAGAATAGTCTCTTCCTTGGACTCGTAGCTTCGAGGAGAGAGAAGAGTTGTTTTGGATGGTCAGGTTCCTCCGCGATAGGCTCTGGTCTCACTTTTGCTTTTGGGCTTCGGTGTTGGCTTATTTTCTCTTTTTGTTCTTGAAATGAGATTCTGTTTAATAATGGGCGGTGAATTTAGCTTGGAATCGGTCTTGGGTTTTATTTCGAAATAGGGGATTACTTTGCGTCGCGGAGGAGAGTTGCGAGAGGTTAAAGGTCGTTGTGCGGCGGCGGGTCTTTTGAATTTTTTGGATTTTTTTTTAGTGTGAATCTTCATATGGAGTGTGATTGGCATTTTTAGAGGTATTTTTTGTCCTTGATATTAATAATCGAATTATTTCAAGAGATATATGAGAAGGTTATATATCCTATAACAGAATTTCGAAAGGTTGAATACGGTCATTGGCAGAGATGTCATGGTGGACGCTGCGTTCAATTATCCAACCGAAAACTCACAAAAGTTTTATTTAATATTTACTCCACATTAGAGAAGCAAATTAGCTCAAAACATCAATTTATATGATAAAAGTGAACCATCCATTAGCATTTATACACTCCAAAAGAGCTCAGATTTACCAAAAATTGACACAATAATTCATAACAAAAGATGCAACTACATTATAAATACATTTACTTAACCATAGAATAAACAAAGTGGACATGAAAGTCATCCCCAAAATTATAAAGCCTCCAAAATATCCAAAACCCTCTCCTACAAGATTAGAGGTACCATCCGATATAACAAAAAATCGAGAGGGAGAAAAATCCAAACCCACCAATTAAATTCTCGGTCGGGTAGTCGAGATTCCCAAAAGGAGCCC